TTTTGCAAGGAAATATGGATTTTGCAATTATAGGGCGGAGCCTAATTGAAGGGGCGGGGCTTAATTGCAAGATTCATATTTGTCTGCAAGAATTATTATAATTATTATTACATATTTAAAATGAAAACTACAAAAACTGGAAATCAAAAATTGGAAGAACGAAATAATAAAAAATCGACAAACTGAAAAATATAAAAATTGAAGAAACGAAAAATTGAAAAAATTTAAATTGGAACGAAAAAATTTGAAAATTGGAATATTGAAAAATCGAAAATTTTGTAAAATTAAGGAAAATAAACCGAAACGGAAAATTGAAAACACGTGAAATTGCAAAATCTAGAAACTGAAACAACTAACAATTGGAAATATCTGGATTTTACAATATTTCGTTTTATCGATTTTGCACTTTTTCGATTTTTAAGTTAGTCAAGTTTTCATTTAATATCTTTCGTTTTTTCATTTTTGATTTTTCAGTTATGAAATTTTTCCATTTTTTTATTATTCGAAAAGTTAAACAATCTCAAAACTGAAAAATCGAAAAATTAATAATTGGAAAACTAAAAAATAGGAAAAACTTAAAAATCGAAAAACTGGAAAACGAAAAATTGCGAAATCGAAAAAGTGGAAAAAAGTTCATGAATCGAATAATTGGAAAAAACAAAAAACAATACGAATCAAAAAATTAGAAAACCTAAAAACTGTAAAATCGAAAATCTGTAACATTGAAAAATTGAAAAATTAAAAACGAATTGTTCTAAAATTGTAAAGTTAAAAAAGCGAAACAATTTTAATAATTATAATTATTATTACATATTTAAAATGAAAACTACAAAAACTGGAAATCAAAAATTGGAAGAACGAAATAATAAAGAATCGACAAACTCAAAAATTGAATAATTGAAAAACTAAAATATTGCGTACTGTAAAAAAAAAATTATAAATATTGGAGTATTGAAAAATCGAAAAATTGAAAAATAAAAAACTGAAACATCTCACAATTAAAAAATCGATGAACTCGAAAAGTTGCATGTCTTAAAAGTGAAGAAATAAAAATAAAAATTGGAAAATTCCAAATCGAACAAGTGAATAAACGAAAAATTAAAACTGAAAAAAAACAAAAATTATAAAAACAAGGAAAATAAAAAACTGAAACGAGAAATTGCAAATCAAAAATTGAAGAAGCGAAAAAATGAAAAATAGAGAAACTGAAATTTCTGAAATTGAAAAAACTGAAAATTAAAAACTCTAGAAGTTGAAAAATCGAAAGACTGATCACCGAAAATTGCAAATCGAAATATCAAAAAATTCATAAATTCAAAAATTTCGCATTGAATAAAGAAAAATTATAAAATCAAAATATTGAAATACAGAAAAATTGAAAAACTAAAAAATCGAAACGAAAAATTGCAAATCGGAAGATTGAAAGCAAGAAATATAGAATAAATCTAAAATTGGAGAAACGAAAAAATAAAAAATCTAAAAGTTGAAAAGTCGAAAATTGGAAACCGAAAAATTGACAATCAAACAACTGAAAATTGTAAAAAGGAAAACTTGAAGAGGTGCATACTGTGAAGTTGAAGAAACAACAAAAATTGAAAAACTGAAAAATTGCAAATCGAAAAATTGAATAAATTGAAATTGAAACAAAAAAAATGGAACACTGGAAAATCGAAAATTTGTAAAAATTAATAAGTTTAAACCCAAACGAAAAATTGAAAAATTTTAAATTGAAAAATTTTTAAATGAAAAATCTAATATTTGAAGAAAAAAAACAAATGAGAAATTCAAAAATTGCAAATCGAAAAATTGAAAATGGAACAAAAAAATTACAAAATTGGAATATTGAAAAATCCAAAATTTTGTAAAATTAAGGAAAATAAACCGAAACGAAAAATTGAAAAATTAAAAATTGAAAAATTAAAAATTGAAAAATTTAATAAATTGAAATTGAAAAAAATGGAACATTGGAAAATCGAAAATTTGTAAAATTAAGAAAAATAAACCAAAACGAAAAATTGAAAAATTTTAAATTGAAAACTGGAGCAATTTTAACTCGAAAAATTGAAAAATCTAATATTTGAAGAAAAAAAAAACAAATGGGAAATTGAAAAAATGCAAAACGAAAAATTGAAAAAATTTAAATTGGAACAAAACAATTACAAAATTGGAATATTGAAAAATCGAAAATTTCGTAAAATTAAGCAAAATAAACCGAAACGGAAAATTGAAAACTCGAGAAATTTTAACTCGAAAAATTGAAAAATGTAAAATCTGAAGAAACAAAACAAATGAAAAATTGAAAAATTGCAAATCGAAAAATTGAAAAAATTTAAATTGGAACAAAAAAATTACAAAATTGGAATAATGAAAAATCGAAAATTTTGTCAAATTAAGGAAAATAAACCGAAACGGAAAATTGAAAAATTAAAAATTGAAAAATTGAAAAATGGAAGAAATGAAAAATTGAATAAACTGAAATTGAAACAAAAAAAAATGGAACACTGGAAAATCGAAAATTTGTAAAATTAAGAAAAATAAATCCAAACGAAAAATTGAAAAATATATTTGAAGAAAAAAAAACAAATGAAAAATTGAAAAATTGCAAATCGAAAAATTGAAGAAACGAAAAATTGAAAAAATTTAAATTGAAACAAAAAATTACAAAATTGGAATATTAAAAAATCGAAAATTTTGTAAAATTAAGGAAAATAAACCGAAACGGAAAATTGAAAAATTAAAAATTGAAAAATTGAAAAAGGGAAGAAATGAAAAATTGAATAAACTGAAATTGAAACAAAAAAAAATTAAACATTGGAAAATCGAAAATTTGTAAAATTAAGAAAAATAAACCCAAACGAAAAATTGAAAAATATAATATTTGAAGAAAAAAAACAAATGAGAAATTGAAAAATTGCAAATCAAAAAATTGAAGAAACGAAAAATTTAAAAAATTTAAATTAAAACAAAAAATTACAAAATTGGAATCTTGAAAAATCGAAAATTTTGTAAAATTAAGGAAAACAAACCAAAACGGAAAATTGAAAAATTGAAAAATTGAAGAAATGAAAAATTGAATAAATTGAAATTGAAACAAAAAAAAATGGAACATCGGAAAATCGAAAATTTGTAAAATTAATAAAAATAAACCCAAACGAAAAATTGACAAATTTTAAATTGAAAACTGGAGAAATTTTAACTCGAAAAATTGAAAAATATAATATTTGAAGAAAAAAAACAAATTAGAAATTGAAAAATTGAAGAAACGAAAAATTGAAAAAATTTAAACTGGAACAAAAATATTACAAAATTGGAATATTGAAAAATCGAAAATTTTGTAAAATTAAGGAAAATATACCGAAACGGAAAATTAAAAAATTAAAAATTGAAAAATTGAAGAAATGAAAAATTTAATAAATTGAAATTGAAACCAAAAAAAATTAGAACATTAGAAAATCGAAAATTTGTAAAATTAAGAAAAATAAACCCAAACGAAAAATTGAAAAATTTTAAATCGAAAACTGGAGAAATTTTAACTCGAAAAATTGAAAAATCTAATATTTGAAGAAAAAAAACAAATGAGAAATTGAAAAATTGCACATCGAAAAATTGAAGAACCTATAAATTGAAAAAATGTAAATTAGAACAAAAAAATTACAAAATTGGAATATTGAAAAATCAAAAATTTTGGGAAATTAAGGAAAATAAACCGAAACGAAAAATTGAAGAAATGAAAAATTGAATAAATTGAAATTGAAAAAAAAGGAACACTGAAAAATGGAAAATTTGTAAAATCAATAAAAATAAACCCAAACGAAAAATTGAAAAATTTTAAATTGAAACCTGAAAAAATTTTAACTCGAAAAATTGAAAAATCTAAAATATGAAGAAACAAAACAAATGAGAAATTGAAAAATTGCAATTGAAAAATTGAAGAAACGAAAAATTGAAAAAATTTAAATTGGAACAAAACAACTAAAAAATTGGAATATTGAAAACTCGAGAAATTTTAACTCGAAAAATTGAAAAATGTAAAATTTGAAGAAACAAAACAAATGAAAATTTGAAAAATTGCAAACCGAAAAATTGAAGAAACGAAAAATTGAAAAAATTTAAATTGGAAATTACAAAATTGGAATATTGAAAAATCGAGAATTTTGTAAAATTAAAGAAAATAAACCGAAATGAAAAATTGAAAAATTTAAAATTGAAAACTTGAGAAATTTTAACTCGAAAAATTGTAAATCGAAAAGTTGAAGAAACGAAAAATTGAAAAAATTGAAATTGGAATATTGAAAAATCAAAAATTTTGTAAAATTAAGGAAAATAAACGGAAATGAAAAATTGAAAAATTAAAAGATTGAAAAATTGAAGAAATGAAAAATTGAATAAATTGAAATTGAAACAAAAAAAATGGAACATTGGAAAATCGAAAATTTGTAAAATTAAGAAAAATAAACCCAAACGAAAAATTGAAAAATTTTAAATGGAAAATTGAAATAATTTTAACTCGAAAAATTGAAAAATCTAATATTTGAAGAAAAAAAAAACAAATGAGAAATTGAAAAATTGAAGAAACGAAAAACTGAAAAAATTTAAATTGGAACAAAAAAATTACAAAATTGGAATATTGAAAAATCCAAAATTTTGTAAAATTAAGGAAAATAAACCGAAACGGAAAATTGAAAAATTAAAAATTGAAAACCAGAGAATCTCAAATCCAAAGATTACAGAGTCTAAAAATTGAAAAATTCAACAGTTGGAAAATTGAAAAACTGAAAAATTTTAATTTATAAGAATCATTATTTGCATGCGATTTCCTATCAAAATGAAGCCTTCTTATTACTGAGATAATTTAGCCACTAAACTGTACTCAAAAAAAATAGTTAAAAGAGTTGTCCGAAAAAAATGACAACTGTGAACTGACGTACTAGCATAGATGCCAATAATTCAGGAATGCCAACAATCTAGGAAGGAGGCTTAAGATCTATCTCACTACAGGATTAATTAGGAACTATATTTATTTGTCAATTTTTGTACATCAGTTGATCATAAATGAAAAATAAATACCACACTGTTCCTACTTCGTAAACAATCTGCGTACACTATAGTGTCTTTTTCGCAACTTTGACGTACTCCAAACCCTTGCCATACAGAAAAACGTGAAAATAATTTTCGTCTTCTTCACACGACATTCCCTGAATATCGGCAACGGCGGAATCGTACCTAGCGCGATATTTACAACACAACCGATCTTCGTCAACACTCCACTGGAAAACCAAAAGCTTCTGATCAACAGAAGTCGTAAAAAAATAATCCGCACTAATCCAAGTTCCAGTGACCTGGGCACAATGAGAGAAAGCGTCCCGAAATTCCTCCACACGAATAACACAGTTCGCTTCGATCCTAAACAAACTAACCACGATACAACCGTCATCGCCCCCTGACACGAAAAGTCCTCTAGTGTGGTCAATAAAACGAAAAGAACAAGCCGTGACTGCGGACTGATGAACCCCGATAACCTGAAACGGGGCGACGTCCTCTTCCAAAACCCGCGAGACGTCCCAGAAGGTAAAATTACCATCTGTACTCATAGTCACCAGAACGCAACCACCGAAAAGAGGTTTTCTTAGCAGACACAGTTTAGTCACGCACTTCACTCTACGAAACAGTTTTTTTCGTAGCTGGAGACCAAATCTACTTGTGACTTTTTCCACGTCGAAAACGTCAACATTTCCGTCGGAAGCGGCTGCAAACAACACCAAATCCCCTTTTTCCGTCTCCATCACCTTCAAATCCATGATTCTGATTTCAGATTCCAACGAATCTTTGTTGGTTTCTTTGTAAAGAGAGTATTCTTGGCGACACAGACTCTGTTCGTTTTCTTGAAAGATCAAAGTCCAACAAATTATCTGGCCTCTGCCCCCTCCCGTGAACATCAAATAACCCCCATCAGACAATCCATGTACACACACAGCTTTGATGTTAGACAAATGCGACTTGAAGTTCTTCACGCAGTCAAAAAAATCGTCCCCCACGACCGAAATACGCAAATTCGTGTCATCGCTGCCCGAAACAAGCACAAACTTGTCTTTTAAAGACACCACAGCCACTGAATTTGTCGTGTTGAAGTGGTAATCCGACACCACTTCAAGACACGATTTGTGGTTCCAGTCGATTTGATTGATGGTGCGGCCTTTCACGAAACAGAAGACAGTGGAAGACTTCGTTTTGCAGAAGTCCCAAGAGCGGTGGCCGCCACCACACACGTATTCTTGTAGTTTTCGTCGGGTTTTGTAGTCCCAAACGATGAAGGTGTTTCCGGAGAAGGCCAGAAGAAGGTTCTCGGGTGTGAGGGTCAGCAGCCACGAAAACGGGACTTTGTCGGTGGAGAAGTGTTCAATGCCTTTGTCGGTCCAGAGGAAGGTGTTGATGTTGCCGTCGCGTCCTAGAGATAGCATGTTTTCGTTGTAGGAGTGGAGTTGTGTGATTCCCAAAGAGTGGACTTTCTTGAAGACTTGGATGGGTGTGCTGGACTTCAGTTCGTAGACGAAGATGTTGCCTCTTCTGTTGGCGACGATGTATTTTCCGTTTGGGCCTTGGCAAGCTGTGGTGGTCCACAGACCTTTAGTTTCTTTTGCAGGTAGGTGGAAAGTTGTAATTAGAATAGGGTGATTTTTATCTAGGTACCATAGGTTGAGCAGACCGTTTTGTTGGCAAGTGAGGAACGTTTGACATGTTATCCAATGGATGGAGTATATGCGTAATGGTTGCTCGGTTTTAAACGCTACCAGTAAGACAATACTCGTCTCGCGTAACTGATAAATATAAATTTCACCACAATATCCTAAAAATAATTTGTAAATCATAAAACTGAAAAATCTGTCTTAGTTAGTTACCTGCAAGTGCGAACAAATTCCTGCATTTAGAAATTTCCAAAATGCAGTAGCCACTCAAATCTTGGTGGCGTTGAACTAGTACCAACTGTCCCGTCGGGTTACCATAATTTGAATACAGGGTACCGCTTTCTGTGATAACAACCACATTAGCGTCCCTTACGAAGCCCACATGCTTGGGACTTTCGTTGTTTGGAAGTATCAGTTGGCGACTACTTAAGCTGTTCTTGATGGGTGCTAACAAAACTCCACAACTTCCTCCCCCCGACACGATCATTCCATTTCTACAATCGAAAGCCCAAATAGGTCCCCCCTGATTAGCTGTAATTTTGTTTAAAAGCTCCCCTTTAAAATCCCACACGTTCAAAATAGAATCCTCTCCAGCGGTTACCAGTACGTCGTCTAGTACCACGGACCTAAATATTCTCGACTGGTGTCCATAAAATTTTCGAACTAGAGTTATTTCTGGACTTTTTCGAGCTAATTCCGTGTGGATACATTTACTTTCAACTGACCATAAAATCGAAGATCGGTCATCCGAAGACGAACAGATGTACCCGACGCTTGGGTTATAGTTGACCGAAAATATAACTCCCTAGAAAGAACGGAACGTCTTACCAACACAAGGAAACCTAAGAATCTACATACATTGTGTCCTTTCAGTTTGGCTAACACAACAGAACTATCTCGCTCTTCGTTCTGAGATACTTTCCAAATCAGTATCTCGCTGAACACAGTTCCAGAAAAAATTACCAATTCGTTTACATTGTCATACGATATGAAGGCGCTGTAGAGAATGCATTTTTCGCCACAAAGGACTTGTCGTTGCACAACTAAATCTTCGTTGAATATTAAAAGTGCGTTTTTCATAACGACGGTTCCAACGAGTCCGTTTCGTAGCCATCGCGCTGTTAGAACCCAGTCCTGGATTTGTTTGTTGCAGACAAATTTCACCTGGAGGGAATCTAAGTCACACTTTAGGGTTTGTATGGAGCAGCCACCATACAAGAAAAAATTTGTGTCGTCGATTTCGATACCGTGGATTTTGTGTCCGTTGAAGATTTTTAGTTTTTTTATGAAGTTGCCTTTTTTGTCAAAAATGTGTAAGAAGTTGCCGATACCTAAAACGATTTACAAAATCAAATTTTTGAAGAAATAAATTGATTCTGATGTGTATAGTGTAAGGTTATTGTGTTCCAGAGGTTCAAAAAACTCGACAAGACACAGAAACGCGTAACTTTACTTTAGGTCCCAACCGATTTCTATAAAAATTAACGTCTGAAATCCCGTAAAAGACCACCAAAATGACGTAGAATTTTTGTACAAATGAACTACTCGTAATTTAGGAGGTATTACCTTTTACGCGCTGTAATTTTCTATCGGATTCTTAAGGGGCCCTAAAATAAAGATGCACCTAAATGTGAAAATTAGATCAGAAATAAAAAAAAAATCATCCTGTATAATTGATAGCGCACACTGAACCAATTAGGCACGCCACTGATGTTCCACAATTTGAGTCTGAGTGGGGATAAATTTTGGCTAACAGGCTATTTAGTGTCTCTGTTACCAAATTGGATTGTTAAATGTTATATATATGTGGATTAGAATATCGTATAGACGGTGAAACTATAAACATAAACAATTGAAGTTAAGCATATACTGGGAAATTGAGAATGTCTATATTTTTTCTCCTTAGTTATCTGCTGTAAATATATTTCACATTTAAAAACCCAGGAATTGCGAGAATGTTAATTACCCCATTTTGTAGAGGTTAACAGTTATCACAAAACAAAAATCGCAAAATCTAATTTAATAATTTTTTATAGAAGCGGAATTTGTCGGACTATATTGCAAGGGCGAGGGAAGTTCTGTCAAAATAACCTTTCACAATTTTTTTACTAGCTTTATTTTTCTTGGTAGCGTCATCAAAATTCCAAAAACAAGATAATTTTTTCAAAATGCCAATGTCGCCGACAAAACTTAATAATAGTAATAATGCTTATATTTTGCCTTTTTTTTTAATATACATAGTCAACTTTTCACAACAGGAAACTTAGAACATGGTTAAAATGGTACATTTTTACACAGAAATATGGATTTTGCAACTAAAGGACGGAGCCTAATTACAAAATCGATATTTCCTTATACAAATTTTAAACATGCCACGCCCCTCGATCTGACAACGAATGAAAATTCACCACAATTGAGAATGGAGATCGGGGTGGGTATGAGCCCCACCCATAATCTTTAGCTTTTTTTTTTTTTCTTAATATACATAGTATTCTTTGAACAACACGACACTCAAAAACATGTTCTTATTTTCTTGTAAAAAAAATAAGGATTTTGCAGTTAAGTTCCGCCTTCTTGGCTCACGACGAATAAAAAAAATCAAATCATCACAATTGCGATGGGGCGGGTGGGCGGGGCTATTTTTTCGTTTTTTTTTTTTTAATATGTATAGACTTATTTCGACAACAAGAAACTTAAAACATGTTTAAAATGGTAAATTTTTGTAGTAATCAACTTAAATCCTACACTTTTCTTTTACAAACCCTTTAAATACGTTAAACACGGTTACAATGGTACACTTTTTCAAGAAAATATGGATTTTGCAATTATGGGGCGGAGCCTAATTGCAAAATCAATATGTTCTTATACAAATTTTTCATTTTAAACATGTTTTAAGTTTCATGTTGTGAAAAGAAGTCTACACATTTTAAAACAAAAAGACAAAATCTAAGCCCACCCACCCGCCCAGTCTCATTTGTGATGATTTTTTTATTCGCCGTGAAGCAAAGGGGGGGAGCTTAACTGCAAAATACTTATTTCTTTACGAGAAATTACAAACATGTTTTGAGAATCGTGTTGTTCAAAGAATACTATGCCTACATTAAGAAAAAAAGGCAAAAATAGACCCCGGCCACCCACCCACCCCATCTCAGTTGTGATGATTTTTTTTTTATTCTTAGAAACTTAAAATACGTTTAAAATGATAATTTTTTTTAAGGAAATGTGAATTTTGTAATTAGGCTCCACCCCTCGATCTGACAATGAATAAAAAATTCATCACAATTGAGCTTGGGATTAATTTTACTTTTGGCTCGTTTTTTTCCTAATATACATAGTATTCTTTGAACGACGCGATACTGAAAAACATGTTTTTTATTCCTTGTAGAGAAATAAGGATTTTGAAATTAAACTCCGCCCCCTTGGCTCACGACGAATAAAAAAAATTATCACAATTGAGATAGGGCGGGTGGGCGGGCTTACATTTTGTCTTTTTGTTTTAATATGTGTAGACTTCTTTTCACAACATGAAACTTAAAATATGTTTAAAATGGTAATAAATTTGTATAGGGAAATATCGATTTTGCAATTACGCTCCGCCCCTCGATCTGACAACGAATGAAAAATTCATCACGACTGAGATCAAGACGGATGGGTGGGGCTTCTCTTTTGGTGTTCTTTTTTAATTAATACATTTATTAGTTTTCTTTGTATAACACGATTAGTTAAGAACATATTTCACATGGTAATTTCTCGTTGAAAAATAAGGATCTTACAAACTCCGCCCTCGGCTTACGACGAAAAAAAAATCATCAGAATTGAGACAGGGCGGGTGGGCGGGGCCTATATTTTGCTTTTTTTTCTTAACATACATAGCCATCTTATCACAACAAGAAACTTAAAACATGGTTAAAATGGTACATTTTGAATTCTACAAATATTAAAAAAAAGACAAAATTACTATTGTTTTTTATAAGTTTCCACTCCCACTAGACAGAACAACATAGTTAGCTCCACCCACCCACCCTGTCTCCTTCTCAGTGATCATTTGATGAAATACATGATTTTATACTGAACGGAAATAAAATTAGTCGCCAGAAGGAGAAGAGGGAGGGTGGGCGGGCCTAGTACTTGCTAAGGTAAGACTAAGTTTGGCAAATGACTTACCCTCCAAGAAAATAGAGGGCGGGTGGGCGGGCCTAGTACTTGCTAAGTTAAGACTGATTTTGGCAAATGACATAAGCTCCAAGAAAATAGAGGGCGGGTGGCCGGGGTAGTATTTGTTAAGATAAGATTGATTTTGGCAAATGATGTACCCTCTAAGAAAATAGACCGTGGGTAGGCGGGGCTAGTATTTTATAATATAAGACTGATTTTCGCATTTTTGACATTTTCCATCATTTTTCAACTGTTTCCGAAAATTAGTTGAAACCATGTTCTTGTAGATTTCGATATCCAGAAGTCATTTTCGGCTTCGTTTCTTCGGAAATTCCTACCGTTTTTCCATTGAAATACAGTTATTTTTAAAGTTCCGACAAAATCGCTCGGTACAAAATTTTTATATGATATACTCGCTAAAAAAATAGAGGGTGGGCGGGGTTAGTATTTGATAAGATAAGACTGATTTTGGCACTTATAACATTTTCCACCATTTTTCAACATTTTTCGAAAAGTAGGTGAAGACATTATCTTGTAGTTTTTGATATCCAAAAGTAATTTTCGGATTCGTTTGTTATATAAGTTTTTTATAAGTTTCCACTCCCACTCCCACTCTACAGAAGAACATAATTGGCCCCGCCCACCCACCATGTCTCCTTCTCAGTGATTAATTTGATCCGATCTGAATGAAATGAATGATTTTATACTGAAAAGAAATAAGATTAGTCGCCAGAAGGAGAAACGAGGGAGGGTGGACGGTACTAGTACTTGCTAAGTTAAGACTAATTTTGGCAAATGACATACTTTCCAAGAAAATAGAGGGCGGGTGGGCGGGGCTAGTATTTGCTAATAAGACTCATTTTAGCAAATGATATACCCTCTAAAAAAATAGACAGCGGGTAGGAGAGGCTAGTATTTGATAAGATGAGATCGATTTTGGCAATTTTGACATTTTCCACCATTTTTCAACTGTTTCCGAAAATTAATTAAAGACATTTTCTTGTAGAATTCAATATCCATAAGTCATTTTCGACTTCGTTTCTACGGAACTTCCTACCGATTTTCCAAAATCGTTAACTGAAATACAGTTATTTTTAAAGTTCCGCCAAAATCGCTCGGTATAAAATTTTTGTATGACATACTCTCTAAGAAAATAGAGGGTAGGTGGAAGGGGCTAGATTTCATAAGGTAAGACTGATTTTGGCACTTACTGCATTTTCGACCATTTTTCAACTATTTTCGAAAACTAGTTGACATTTTCTTCTAGTTTTCGATATCCGGAAGTAATTTTCGGTTTAGTTTGTTATATAAGTTTTTATAAGTTTCCATTCCCACTCGATAGAAGAACATAATTGGCCCCACCCACCCACCCATCCTGTCCCCTTCTCAGTGATTCATTTGATCCGATCTGAATAAATGAATGCTCTTATACTGAACAAAAATAAAATTAGTCGCCAGAATGAGAAGAGGGAGGGTGGGCGGGCCTAGTACTTGCTAAGGTAAGACTTATTTTGGCAAATGACATACTTTCCAAGAAAATAGAGGGCGGGTGGGCGGGGCTAGTATCTGCTAAGATGAGACTGATTTTGTCAATTGATATATCCTGTAAGGAAATAGACAGTGGGTGGGCGGGGCTAGTATTTAAAAATATAAGACTGATTTTGGCATTTATGACATTTACGACCATTTTTCAACTATTGTCGAAAAGTAGTTGAAGACAGTTGCTTGTAGTTTTCGATATCCAGAAGTAATTTTCAGATTCGTTGGTTACATAAGTTTTTTTTAACTTTCCAGTTCCACTCTGACTCGACAGAAGAACAAAATTTTCAATTTTTAAGTTTTGCAATTTTTCAATTTAAAATACCTCGAGTTTTCAATTTTTCGATTCATTAGTTATTCAATTCTCCAAATCTTCGATTTGCAATGTCTCGCTTGGGTTTTTTATTTCCTTTATTTTTTCAATTTTTCGGTTTTTCAATGTCCTGATTTTCAAAATTGTTTTTTCAGTATGAGATTTTAGATTTTTCAGTTTCTGGATTTTTCAATTTTACCATTTTAGAATTTTTCCGTTTTTCAATTATTGTATTTTAAAACTTTCTCATTTGTTCGATTTCTCAACTTTTTTTTTAATTTTTGAATTTCTGGAAATCTAATTTTTCAATTTTTCGATCTTCTAATGTTACAGTTTTTCGACTTTGCAATTTTGACCATTTACTAATTTTTCGGTTTTACAATTTTTAGGTTTACCAATTTTATTTTTATTTTATCAAGTGGTCGAGCGGCTTAAAACAAACTTCGAAGTGCCCCGCCCACCCACCCGGTTTTCTTCTCGAGACTCATTTTATTGGACAAAAAGTAGTTTTTATCCTGATAATTAATAAAATATGAACAAAAAAGGTAAAATTAATTTTATTTACCATGAGATGAAGATTGAACTTTATTTTATGATAAAATAAAGTTCAATCTTCATAAAATTTTTATCAAATGGTAGAATCGCTTAAAACAAACGTCGAAGTGCCCCACCCACCCACCCGGTTTTCTTCTCGATCACTCATTTTATTGGACGAAAAATGGATTTTATGTAGATAAATAGTGAAATCTGAACAAAAAAGGCAAAACTAATCCCACCCACCTCCACTTTTGAATTTCATTGGCTAATTTTATTTACTGTGAAATGAAGATTGAATTTTATTTTGTCAAGTTGTGGAAATGCTTAAAAAAACTTCAAAGTGACCCCGCCCACCCACCTGGTTTTCTTCTCGATCACTCATTTTATTGGACGAAAGGTGGATTTTATATCGATAAATAGTGGAATCTAAACAACAAAGGTAAAACTAATCCCACCCACCTCCACATTTGAATTTCATTGGCTAATTTTATTTACCATGAGATGATGATTGAATTTTATTTTATCAAGTGATCGAATCGCTTAAAAGAAACTACGAAGTGCCCCGCCCACCCACCCGGTTTTCTTCTCGATCACTCATTTTATTGGATGAAAAGTGGATTGATAAATAGTGAAATCTGAACAAAAAAGTTAAAATTAATTCCACCCACCTCTACTTTTGAATTTAATTGGCCAATTTTATTTACTGTGAAATGAAGATTGAATTTTATTTTGTCAAGTGGTGGAAATGCTTAAAAAAACTTCAAAGTGGCCCCGCCCACCCACCCGGTTTTCTTCTCGATCACTCATTTTATTGGACGAAAGGTGAATTTTATATCGATAAACAGTGGAATTTAAACAACAAAGGTAAAACTGATCCCACCCACCCCCACATTTGAATTTCATTGGTTAATTTTATTTACCATGAGATGATGATTAAATTTGATTTTATCAAATGATCGAATCGCTTAAAAGAAACTACGAAGTGCCCCGCCCACCCACCCGGTTTTCTTCTCGATCACTCATTTTATTGGACGCAACATGGATTTTATATCGATAAATAGTAAAATCTGAACAAAAAAGGTAAAATTAATTCCACCCATCCCTACTTTTGAATTTCATTGGCTAATTTTATTTACTGTGAAATGAAGATTGAATTTTATTTTGTCAAGTGGTGGAAATGCGTAAAAGAACTTCAAAGTGGCCCCACCCACCCACCCGGTTTTCGTGTCGATCACTCATTTCATTGGACGAAAGGTGGATTTTATATCGATAAATAGTGGAATCTAAACAACAAAGGTAAAACTAATCCCACCCACCTCCATATTTGAATTTCATTGGCTAATTGTATTTACCATGAGATGATGATCGAATTTTATTTTATCAAGTGATCGAATCGCTTAAAAGAAATCACGAAGTGCCCCGCCCACCCACCCGGTTTTCTTCTCAATCACTCATTTTATTGGACGAAAGGTGGATTTTATATCGATAAATAGTGGCATCTAAACAACAAAGGTAAAACTAATCCCACCCACCCCCACATTTGAATTTCATTGGCTAATTTTATTTACCATGAGATGATGATTGAATTTTATTTTATCAAGTGATCGAATCACTTAACAGAAACTACGAAGTGCCCCGCCCACCCACCCGGTTTTCTTCTGGATCACTCATTTTATTGGATGAAAAGTGCATTGATAAATACTGAAATCTGAACAAAAAAGGTAAAATTAATTCCACCCACCTCTACTTTTGAATTTAATTGGCTAATTTTATTTACTGTGAAATGAAGATTGAATTTTATTTTGTCAAGTGGTAGAAATGCTTAAAAAAACTTCAAAGTGGCCCCGCCCACCCACCCGGTTTTCTTCTCAATCACTCATTTTATTGGACGAAATGTGGATTTTATATCGATAAATAGTGGAATCTAAACAACAAAGGTAAAACTAATCCCACCCACCTCCACATTTGAATTTCATTGGCTAATTTTATTTAACTTCAAAGTGTGCAGTATTAGTTAATCATGATGTACGTACAATACATAAGTATTGGAACAGTTGACTAGAGACTTTTATTCGCAACATTTTTATGATTCAATTTTTGTTAAAAGAAAATGAAATTTTGTATATGCAACCAACAATACATGGTAGTATTTAATAACAGGACGTGACAGCATTTATATTTTCCGCCCATCCTATCAATACATTTTTGACCTATTTTTAACCAAACTTAAAATTAAAATTCCTTCCTGCGTGGTTTATTTATCGCAGCACCCATTACATGCCTGAAAGCGCCGCCACTGTTCAACTCATTTCTACCTCCCTGACCCTTGTACATAATCAAAATATTAATTAATTACTCTATTTACTTTGATAATTAAGATTCCTATTGTTTTGCGAAAAAAATACCAAATTATTTTATAAACAATATAATTCAGGTCAGGTACAAAACACACGTACAAAAACAAAATTAACCTTTGTAATGCGCATGACACCCACAACTGACTTTTTTAAAAAGACAACAGTGCACCTACCTGCTAAAATGAAATTTTCAACCAGTTTCACAGCGGTCACATCGGTTTTAATTAATTGAGACTGGAACATTTTTAGCCTTACTTCTCAGATCACCACTCCTAACCTAAAAAATTTCACGATGGTAAATAAACCAGCGGCGCACAAGTCTGCGCAATATTTGTAACCAAAGAACGCATTTTTGTATTTTTTTGGTTTACAAAAGTGTTAACAAGAAATAGCAAACCATATGTTAGACAATACGAATTTACTTAATATCGCACTATCGAATTTACAATTTCTTCAATAAAATTGCGTCAGTTCTTATTTTTTGGGAAATATATTTTATCTAATCTCCACTTTTTGAGATAAATTTACTGGAAATCACTATAATCTCATAATAATCGTTATGTAATATACATATAATAAGATCGAAATGACAATATCCATTGTACGTCCATTATTAATTCAGATGACGTCATCACGCTATTTTTGGATTCTTGTGTAACTATTATATGACGGCAGTTTTACAGGTCTAAGGAAAATACGCATCTACTTTTAATTTATTGGTTTTCATATATAAAATGTATATACATATAAAATGATGTAAATAGGTAAAAAGTTCTTAAAAATTGTCATTATTAATGCAAAAAAGGGCACTCGCATCGTTATTAATTCAACTAACTTTAGCTTCATAGCAGTTGGGTTACAGATTGACGGAAACAAATTCAACGCGCACGTAAATTCCATAATTTCCTACGTTTTCTTTTTTGTTCAATCTTATTTTACGAATTTTCTGCTACAATGGTACTTCAAATAAATACTTAATTCGTCTGCTGCTACTGAATAATTTCATGAAGCTGCCCATTTTGTAAATCTATAATACAAAATAATTTAACTGGTGTACACGTAATATTCGCCATATGGAGTCACATTCAGACGCATCCATATTCGTACCACACCGCTGTCTCCTTGGAATTGTCAACGTCCTTCTTCACGGTACTATCTTTGGTGGCATTAGCATCAACAGAATTTTGCTGGTCGCCTGGTCGCGACAAATCACCCAACACTGTAGATATTCGGTTATACACCAATAGAGGTGGTTGATTTTGATTGGTCACTGCAGGCGTGACGTTGTTGGGTTCTTCCTCTGAAAGATAAACAGTCCTTCTTGAACCAACTGAACCTAAACTCAAGATGCTTTCTGGTTCACGGGAAAAATTTTCATCGCCTGCGAACGAAATATTATAAATCCATATTAAGTCCTTTACTTTTTCGAATTTTCATTGGTGATTTAACAAGTTACCTGCTATGCTGCTTCTGTGCAAATTCCCATCCCTGTATGTTTTCCTGAGGGTGACTTCGTCCCGTCTGCGCCCTTGTGCTGACCCTTTCAACGAATCCGATCGAGTATTCATTTCATCCACGCTATTGTCGGAATCGTTGCCCCCTGATTCGCCCCCACTGAGCGTGAACTGGGATTGAGTGAGTCGTGAGACGTCTTCGTGCCAAGATCGCCGATTCTAAAACCCAGTTTCTACCAAATTTTTTAACCAAATTCATTTCAACTTACCCTGCTCGGGACCTTGTTAATAATATCCGACCCCGCTTTCCTCACTTTCCGGACCAACGTAGCTCCGAAACCCTTCTTCTTACACGACGCGTTGTCTAATTTTCTATAATGTTCCATGATTTTTTCTTCCAATTTTTCCTTCTGGCGACAGAGGTTGTTCACTTTGTCTGTATAGAGTTTCTCTTCTAGGTGATAGTGTTGTTTATCCTCCAATGAATGCGTTAATAGAGAGTGATATTGCGTCAAAAGCTGGGACACATGATCCATTAACGCCCTCCGGTCAGAATCCAACGAGTGGTTCATTTCAAATAACATCTTAAAAACGAATAACAAAATCAAGCATTGTAACAATAAAACGAAAGGACGCGTTTTACATCACATTTTTGTTGTAACTTGGCGTTTTCGAGGTGCAGACCTGCCACGAGGTCGGAAGTCGAATTTAATTCTCCTTGCATTTCGGTCTGCCCCAAACGCAGGGTTCTGGATTCAGTTCGTACGTTTTTCAGTTCTTCTTGGATGTTTCTGTATTCGACTTTTAGTCGCTCGCTGGCGGTGAATAAATTTCTGAAGTCGTCCTAAAATTAAAATGATAATTGCACAAAATTGACAAACTCGGAAATCTAAAATCTAGCAAGTACTAACCCCGCCCACCCGCCCTTTATTTTCTTGGCGATGTCATTGGCGAAAATGAGTTTTATGTTAGCAAATACCAGCACGAAGAAAATTATTTAAAAAATTGAATAATTGACAAACTCGGAAATCTAAAAACGTGAAGTCGAAAATGGAATTAAAAAAATGAAAATATCAATAAATTAAAAAATTTCCAAATCTGAAAAATTGAAAATTTGAGAAACCGAAAATCGATACATAAAAAACTGTAGAATCGAAAAATTAAAAAATCGAAATGAAAAAATTGAGAAACTGAAATGCCACAAAACGGGAAATAGAAAAATCGAAAAATCCAAAACTGAAAAAATCGAAATTGAAAAGTCGAACAATTTTAAAAGTGGACAATCCGAAATGTCGAGAAACCGGAAATAAGAAAAATCGAAAAATTGAAACAGGTATTAAGCAATCTTGAAATCGGGAAATCGAGAGATAAAAAAATTGGAAAATCTAAAAATGTTATAAATTGAAAAGCTGAAAAATCAAAAACTGAGAAATTTGGAAAATCGAGAAATCGAAAAAGTCCAAGCGAAGAATTAAAATCCGTAATCCAAAAATTGAAAATTTTCTGATTCGCCACTAGCGGAAGATTATCTACAATTTGGCACCAATTTTCGGTCGATTGAATCAATTTTAACCACTTTTTTGGAAAATCTCTGGAAATTTTAAATTCAGTTTTCGTGTTTATTGGAACAGATATCGTGACGGCGATTTCAGATTCGTAACTAGCGGAAGATTATCTACAATTTGGCACCAATTTTCGGTCGATTGAATCAATTTTAACCACTTTTTTGGAAAATTTTTGGAAATTTTGAATTCACGTTTCGTGTTTATTGGAACAGAAATCGTGACGTCGATTTCAGATTCGTAACTAGCGGAAGATTATCTACAATTTGGCACCAATTTTCGGTCCATTGAACCAATTTTAACCACTTTTTTGGAAAAATTTTGGAAATTTTTAATTCAGTTTTCGTGTTCATTGGAACAGATATCGTAACGGCGATTTCAGATTCGTAACAAGCGGAATATTATCTACAATTTGGCACCAATTTTCGGTCGATTGAACCAATTTTAACCACTGTTTTGGAAAATTTTTTGAAATTTTGAATTAACTTTTCGAGTTTACTGCAATAGATAACGTTACGGCAATTTTAAATTCGTAACAAACCGAAGATCATCTACAATTTGGAACCGATTTTCGGGCGATTGAACCAATTTTAACCACTTTTTTGGAAAATTTTTGAAAATTTTGATTTCACTTTACGCGTTTATTGTAATAGATATTGTGACGGCGATTTCTGATTCGTAACTAGCGGAAGATTATCTACAACTTGGCACCAATTTTCGGTAGATTTAACCAACTTTAACCACTTTTTTGGAAAATTTTTGGAAATTTTGAATTCAGTTTGCGTGTTTATTGGAACAGATATCGTGACGGCGATTTCAGACTCGTAACTAGCGAAAGATTATCTACAATTTGGCACCAATTTTCGGTCGATTGAACCAATTTTAACCACTTTTCTCGAAAATTTTTGGAAATTTTGAATTCACTTTTCGTGTTTATTGAAACAGATATCGTGACGGTGATTTCTGATTCGTAACAAGCGGAAAATTATCTACAATTCGGCACCAATTTTCGGTCGATTGAACCAATTTTAACCACTGTTTTGGAAAATATTTGGAAAATTTGAATTCACTTTTCGAGTTTATTGTAATAGATATCGTAACGGCGATTTCAGATTCGTAACAAGCGGAATATTATCTACAATTTGGCACCAATTTTCGGTCGATTGAACCAATTTTAACCACTGTTTTGGAAAATTTTTTGAAATTTTGAATTAACTTTTCGAGTTTATTGCAATTGATAACGTTACGGCAATTTTAAATTCGTAACAAGCGGAAGATCATCTACAATTTGGAACCGATTTTCGGGCGATTGAACAAATTTTAACCACTTTTTTGGAAAATTTTTGGAAATTTTGATTTCACTTTACGCGTTTATTGTAATAGATATTGTAACGCCGATTTCCGATTCGTAACTAGCGGAAGATTATCTACTATTTGGCACCAATTTTCGGTCGATTGAACCAATTTTAAAAACTTTTTTGGAAAATTTTTGGAAATTTTGAATTCACTTTTCCAGTTTATTGTAACAGATACCGTGACGCCGATTACAGATTCGTAACAAGCGGAAGATTATCTACCATTTGGCACCAATTTTCGGTCAATTGAACCAATTTTAACCACTTTTTTGGAAAATTTTTGGAAATTTTGATTTCACTTTACGTGTTTATTGTAATAGATATCGTAACGGCGATTTCAGAATCGTAACTAGCGGAAGATTATCCACAATCTGGCACCAATTTTCGGTCGATTGAACCAATTTTAACCACTTTTTTGGAAAATTTTTGGAAATTTTGAATTCACTTTACGTGTTTATTGTAATAGATATCGTAACGGCGATTTCTGATTCGTAACTAGCGGATGATTTTCTACAATTTCGCACCAATTTTCGGTCGATTGAACCAGTTTTAACCACTTGTTTGGAAAATTTTTGGAAATTTTGAATTCACTTTTGGAGTTTATTGTAATAGATATTGTAACGGCGATTACTGATTCGTAACTAGCGGAAGATTATCTATAATTTGGCACAAATTTTCGGTCGATTGAACCAATTTTAAACACTTTTTTGAAAATTTTGAATTCACTTTTCGTGTTTATTGTAACAGCTATCGTAACGGCGAATACAGATTCGTAACTAGCGGAAGATTATCTACAATCTGGCACCAATTTTCGGTCGATTGAACCAATTTTAACCACTTTTTTGGACAATTTTTGAAAATTTTGAAATCACTTTTCGTGTTTATTGTAATAGATATCGTAACGGCGATTTCTGATTCGTGACTAGCGGAAGATTGTCTACAATTTGGCACCAATTTTCGGTCCATTGAACCAATTTTAACCACTTTATTGAAAAATTTTTGGAAATTTTTAATTCATTTTTCGTGTTTATTGTAACAGATATCGTAACGGCGATTTCTGATTCGTAACTAACCGAAGATTATCTACAATTTGGCATCAATTTTCGGTCGACTGAACCAATTTTAACCACTTTTTTGGAAAATTTTTGAAAATTTTGAATTCAGTTTTCGTGTTTATTGGAACAGATATCGTGACGGCGGTTTCTGATTCGTAGCTAGCAGAAGTTATCTACAATTTGGCACCAATTTTCGGTCGATTGAACCAATTTTACCCACTTTTTTGGTAAATTTTTGGAAATTTTTATTTCACTTTTCGAGTTTATTGTAATAGATATCGTAACGGCGATTTCTGATTCGTAACTACCGAAAGATTATCTACAATTTGGCACCAATTTTCGGTCGATTGAACCGATTTTAAATACTTTTTTGGAAAATTTTTGGAAATTTTGAATTCATTTTTTGTGTTTATTGGACCAGATATCGTGACGGCGATTTCAGATTCGTAACTAGCGGAGGATTATCCACAATTTGGCACCAAGGTTCGGTCGATTGAACTAATTTTAACCACATTTTTGGAAAATTTTTGGGGATTTTAAATTCAGTTTTCGTGTTTATTGGAACAAATATCGTGACGGCGATTTCAGATTCGTAACTAGCCAAAGATTATCTACAATGTGGCACCAATTTTCGGTCGATTGAACAAATTTTAACTACTTTTTTGGAAAATTTTTGGAAATTTTTAATTCACTTTTCGAGTTTATTGCAATATATATCGTAATGGTGATTTCTGATTCGTAACTAGCGGAAGATTATCTACAATTTCGCACCAATTTTCGGTCCATTGAACCAATTTTAACCACTTTTTTGGAAAATTTTTGGAACTTTCTGAGCACGCGGTAGAATCAACAAAAAATTTTGATTCAAATTAAATGTCACTGTTAACCATATGAATTTTGACAAAAGGGAGTAAAGTGCACTGTTTTTTCCATTTTTATATCAAAAGCAGAATTTTTTAAATGTTGGGGAATTTTGTCGTGGTTGTCACTGTAACATTTGACGTTTGAATTTAAACAATGTGAATAAATCTCGTATTATTTGGCGTTATTTTACTTGTTATTTAACAGACATTTGTAATGACACTAATGGTTGCCAATCTTGAAAACATAAATTACACAAGTTACCTTCAATTTCGAGTGCTCCGCCCGAAGTACCGCCAAATTTTTCGCACCGTTCTTCAACAGTTCCTTTTCGGCTTCCAGCGCCAGAACCTTCTCCTTCTGACACGAATTCGTCTCCTTCAAAGTACGTATTTCAGACCTGAGATCCCTATTTAACTTCTTCAGCGACTCCTGCTCAACTTTCAGTAGTTCATATTCCGCTGTCAACTGCTCGTGCAGACTCCTCATCGTGATTTGGTCCAAAAGTATCGTGTCATGTTGGGTGTTCTGAATTTTTTGCTGTTTTGACAACTAGAAAAAACACGTCAAACCTAAACACACAATTGACACTAAATTTTCAAACCTCGTCTTTTTCCGCCACGAGCTGACTATTCGCCAACTGTAGCGCCGTCTGTTGCGTCTGCAACGAGTGAACTTGCGATTTTAAAGTTGAAATGTCTACTTGTAACTTGGCATTTTCGGCCTGCAAAACTTCGTTCAAAGTTTGGAAATTCAAAATTTGACTGTTTAATCTGTCGCCGCACTCCTCTGTTTGCTTGTTGTCTTTACACTGTTGACACACAACTGAATCGGTCCCGTCCTTGTCCAACTCCAACGAAATTATTTTTTTTATTTTCGAGTTGTTGAGCATGTTTTTGACGATGACGTTTAAATCGCTGTCCAAGAGTTCGAAATTTAGGGACAACTTTTCCAAACTATTTTTACATTTATCGTTGTTTAATTTTTCGGTAATTAGGTCTTTCTGTAAAGTGGCTACAGTTTCCTCATAGACGGAAGTTTGCGACGACAGCTCCTGCGACTTTTGTTCGAACTCCTGCAGCTTTTCCACCTGCGAGCGCAAATTTTCCATTTCTTTGGTCATTTTTTGGATGTCTTTTTCTTGTCGCTTGGATTTTTCCATTTCGTTGTCCAGTGACACGGCTTTTGCCTATTGTACACAACAAATAAATAAAAACATACAAAAAATATAATTCCACACTAACTTACCTCCAACATTTCTTTAAACTTGTTAATATCTTTCAACAAAGTTCCGTTCTCTTTTTCCAAAACGACGACTTTCTCACTTTTTTCGTTTGACAACTTCTCCAGTTCTTTCATTTGTTCAGTCTGTCCCTGGACACTCTGCAGCTGATCCGACACCTGGATGAGCGACTTCTCCGCATTGTCCGCCCTTTTCTTAATCGTGTCACACAATATCTGAATCCTTTGTTTTTCCTTCGTTAGCGATTCCACATTCTTCTCCAGTTCTGTCACTTTCGTACGCTCGTTTTGTACGTCTTGTACTTGTCTCTCTGACACCACTTTAATCGTGTCGATGTTATCCTGCAATTTTCGGTTTTCTTGCATCGCATTCTTGAAAAGACTCTCCAGTTCGTCGTTCTGTTGCGTCAACCTGTCACAGTTTTCTTGTAGTTGGTCGCACTTCAGCAACAGTTTCTTCTTTTCTTTTTCCAACTCTAGTAGTTTGTTTGCGTTTTCGTGAAAACTTCGTTCTTTGAGTGAGTCGATCGTGGATAGGAGTTTTTTGTTTTCGAGTTCTAGTTTGAGGGCTCGGGCCTGGGCGTTGTTGGTTAGCTGTTCTGATAAGCTGTTATCACCGGAGTTGGTTTCTTCTTGGTCGGAATCCGGGGAGGCGGCTATAGTGCTCGTTTCTTGAAAAACTGATTTTGTTACTTGTTGGAGTTGGAGGTTTTCTTCCAGGAGTTCTTGGATTTTTTCTTTGGCGGCGTCCCGTTCCTAAGAAGAATTCGTTGAAGAGATCAGGTCAGAAAGGGACTTAACAAAATAAATTAATTAAAGATAAAATTTTTGGAAATATGAAAATAGAAGTAAACATATATCTCGATCACAGTGGCGGACATTTTGAAACTATTTATTATTTTTTTAGTAAAATTTGTTAATCATAATTTTCTATTATTTAAATGCCCCTTGATCATATGCAACCAAATATACGGGTTACTCTTAACCAGTCTTAAAAAAATTTAAAACGCAACGAACAATACAAATTTGGTCATCATAAGTAAAACATTAAAAAATGTTACTTAGGTGCTGAAATAACATCAAAATCAATATAAACCTTTTTTCACATTTTTAATTGAAAATTCGATTTTTTTTAATTTTGGGGAATTTTGATTTTGGTATGTCAAATGTCACAATGTAAACTTTGAAATTTGAATTTTCGCTTCTAAAAATTTAAAAACCAAAAAATGCAAATGGGAAAATTGTGGTTGGAGGACCGAAAAAATCGAAAATTAGAAAAAACGAAAATTTAAAATGACAGAAAATTGAAATATTGAAGAGACGAAAAATTGAAAAACGAAAAATTGTAAAAAAAATCATAAAAATTGTGAAACTTTATATAAAAAACAAAAAAATTAAGACACATCGTAAAATTAAAATCGAAAAACTGAAAAATATAGAAATTGAAAAATCGAAACATTGAAAACACAAAAAAATAATTGAAAAACCTAAAATTGAAGAAATTTAAAAATTTTAAAAAGAAGAATGCAAATGAAAAAATTGTGGTTGAAGGAACGAAAAATTGAGAAATCGAAAGATCACTAGAAACTGAAAAATTGAAAAATTCAAAATATGAAATATCAAAAAACTAAAAACTCGAAAAATTGTAAAAAAACAAAAAAATTGCGAAACTTTAAATGAAAAACAAAAAAAATGAACAAGAGAAATTGAAAAATTGAAGATACGAAAACGAGAAAAATCGGAAAACTTCAAAAGTTGACACCCTCAAAAATTGAAAAATTGTAAGAACGAAAAACTGAAAAATCTAGAAATTGAAAGATTGAAATACATATGTAAATATTGAAAACAAAACAAAAAAAAATCAGTGGATAAAATTAAATTGACAAATCTAAACATCTAAAAATTGAAAAATTGGAAATTGAAAAATTGGAAATCGAAAAATTGAAAAATCGCAAATTCAAAAAATTGAAGAAATGAAAAAGTTAAAAACTGAAAATCTGAAAACTAAAATTGCAAAATGAAACACTGAAGAAACCAAAATGTGAAAAATGGAAAAGTTCAATTGTTGAATACAGAAAAACTGAAACGTTCTAAGTGAAAACTGAAAAATTCTAAAACTATAAAATTGAAAAATTGAAAACAAAAATGAAAAATCTAAAACTGAAAAAAATCTAAAAATTTAATTGAAGACTGCAAATGGAAAAATTGTGGTTGGAGGGAACGAAAAATTGAAAAATCGAAAGATCACGAGAAACTGATTAATCGAAAATTAGAAAAAAACAAAATTTAAAATGACGGAAAATTGAAATATTGAAAAGAAGAAAAATTGAAAACTCGAAAAACTGTAAAAAAACAAAAAATGGAGAAAAGAGAAATTGAAAAATTGAAGAAACGAAAACGCGAAAAATCGGAAAGCTACAAAAGTTGAAATCTTGAAAATTTGAAAAATTTTAAATTGCAAACTTGAAACATCGTAAAATTAATAAATCGAAAAATTTAGTAATTATAAATTTAAACAAAAAACAGGAAAATTGGAAAAATTAAAATATCTAAAATTGAAAAACTGAAGAATTGCAAATTAAAAATTTGTAGGAATGAAAAACTCAAAAATCAAAACATTGAAAATCAAACTGAAGAATCAAAAATTAAAACATTGAAATACATATATAAATATTGAAAACAAAAAAAATTGCGAGTAAACTTGAACTGAAAAATCTAAACATCTAAAAATTAATAAACTCGAAGTAGAAAAAACTAAAAAATCGCAAATGCAAAAAATTGAAGAAATGAAAAAGTTAAAAATTGAAAATCTGAAATCTCAAAAAAATGCGAATTGAAAAATTGAAGAAACCAAAAAGTGAAAAATGGAAAAATTCAAGAGTTGAGTATCAAAAAACTGAAAAAATTTAAAAACTCAATATAAAATTAAAAAAGGAAAAATTGAAAACACAAAAAAAATTAATGGAAAAACTTAAAATTGAAAAAATCCCAAAAATTAAAAACTGAAGATTGCTAATGGAAAAATTGTGGTTAGAGGAACGAAAAATTGAAAAATCGAAAGGTCACGAGAAACTGAAAAATCGAAAATTAGAAAAAACGAAAATTTAAAATAACGGAAAATTTAAACATTGAAAAAACTAAAAACTTGTAAAAAAAACAAAAAATTGTGAAATTTTATATAAAAAACAAAAATAGGAAAAGAAATTGAAAAATTGAAGATAAGAAAACGCGAAAAATCGGAATACTTCAAAAGTTTAAATCCTGAAAAATTGAAAAATTTTAACTTGAAAACACGAAACATCATGAAATTAAAAAATCGAAAAATTGAAAAATTTTAAATTTAATACAAAAAATGGAGGAACCGGGAAACTGGAAAAGTGAAAAAATTAAAATATCTAAAATTGAAAAATTGAAGAATTGCACATGGAAAAAATTGTAGGAACGAAAAACTAAAAATTTAGAAATTGAAAAATAGAAACACTGAAAATCGAGAAAGTGAAAAATCGAAAATTTGAAAACACGAAAGCTTAAAATGACGAAAAATTGAAAAATTGCAAATCGAAAAATTAAGATAACAAAAAATTAAAAATCTAAAAATTCAAATGATGAAATAACAAAAAACTGAAAAATTTTAAATTGAAAACTTGAAAAATTGAGAAAGAAATTAAAAAATCGAAAAACTGAGACATTTTTAATTGACAACAAAAAAATTAAGAAAGGAGAAATTGAAAAATTGAGGGAAGGAAAACGCGAAAAATCGGAAAACTTCAAAAGATGAAAAATCGGAAAACTTCAAAAGATGAAATCTCGAAAAATTTTAAAAATTTAAATTAAACACAACAAAATGAAAAACGGGGAAACTGGAAGAAAAAAATTGAATACATAAAAATTTAAACATCTAAAAACTAAAAAACTGCAGATTATTGTAGGAACAAAAAACTGAAAAATCGAGAAATTGAAAAATTGAAACATTAAAGACGACATTGAAAAATCAAAAATTGAAAGATTGAAATATATATCTAAATATTCAAAACTTGAAAAATATAAACATCAAAAAACTGAAAAACTGGAACTCAAAAATCGCAAATGCAAAAAAAAATGAAGAAATGAAAAAATTAAAAATTGAAAATCTGAAAACTCAAAAATTGCAAATTACAAAATTGAAGAAACCAAACAATGAAAAATGGAAAAACTCAAGAGAATATCGGAAAACTGAAAAATTTTAACTGAAAACTCGAAAAATTGTAAAAAACAAAAATTTATGAAACTTTAAATAAAAAACAAAGAAAAGAGAAATTGAAAAACTGAAGATAAGAAAACGCGAAAAATCGGAATACTTCAAAAGTTGAAATCCTGAAAAATTTTAAATTGAAAACTAGAATCATCGTGAAATTAGAAAATCAAACAATTGAAAATTTTTAAATTTAAACAAAAAATGAACAGAGAAACAGGAAAATTGAAAGAATTAAAATATCTAAAATTAAAAAACTGAAGAATTGCAAACTGAAAAATTGTAGGAACGAAAAAATGACAAAATCTAGAAACTGAAAAATCGAAACATTGAAAATCAAACTGCAAAATCAAAAATTAAAACATTGAAATACATATCTAAAAATTGAAAACAAAAAAAAATTAGCGGATAAACTTGAATTGAAAAATTTAAACATCTAAAAATTGATAAATTGGAAATCGAAAAATCGCAAAAAAAAAATTAAAAAATTAAAAACTTAAAAACTGAAAATCTGAAAACTCAAAAATTGCAAATTGAAAAACTGAAGAAACGAAAAAGTGAAAAATGGAAAAATTCAAGACTCGAAAAATTGTAAAACTGTAAAATTAAAAAATCGAAAAATTTAAAACAAAAAAAACTGAAGGGAAAATCTAAAATTGAATCAATCTAAAAATTTAAAAGCTGAATACTGCAAATGGTAAAAATGTGGTTGGAGGAACGAAAAATTGAAAAATCGAAAGATCACGAGAAACTGAAAAATCGAAAATTAAAAAAACGAAAATCCAAGAAATTGAAAATCTAGAAACTAAAAAATTTGAAAACACGAAAACTTAAAATGACCAAAAATTGAAAAATTGTAACTGGAAAAATTGACAAGACAAAAAATTGAAAAATCGAAAAATTCAAAAGATCAAATATCAAAAAACTGAAAAATTTTAAACTGAAAACTCGAAAAATTGATGAAGGAAATTAAAAAATCGAAAAATTGATAAATTTCCAATTGAAAACAAAAAATGAAGAAAGAATAAACTGAATAATTGAACGAAAAAAACGCGAAAAAACAGAAAACTCCAAAAGGTGAAATCTCGAAAAATTTTAAATTAAACAAAAAGAATTAAAAAAGGAGAACCGGAAAGAAAGTTGAAAAAATTAAAATTAAAACATCCAAAACCTTAAAAATTTGCAAATGGAATAACTGTAGGAACAAAAAACTAAAAAATCTAGAAACTGAGAAATCGACATATTAAAAATCGAGAAACTGAAAAATCGAAAATTTGAAAAAACGAAAGCTTAAAATGTCAAAAAATTGAAAAATTGCAGATAGAAGCATTGAAAAGATGGAAGACTGAAAAATTCAAAAGTCGACAAATAGAAAAAGTGAAGAAATGAAGAAGCAAAAAATTGAAAAATTGCTATTTGAAAAATTGACGAAAAAAAAACCGTGAAAAATCGGAAAACTTCAAAAAATTGAAAAATATTAAAATGCAAATTGTAAAATTAAAAAACCGAAACATTTTAAATTGACCAGACAAAAAAATGAAAGGAGAAACTGGAAAATTGAAAAATAAATGAATTTCTAAAAATTGAAAAATTGTAGGAACGAAAAACTGAAAAATCGTTAACATTAAAAATCGAGAAACTGAAAAATCGAAAATTTGAAAAAACGAAAGCTGAAAATAACGAAATATTGAAACGGTGCAAATAGAACAATTGAAGATAGATGAAAAACTGAAATATTCAAAAGTAAAAAATCGAAAATTTGAAAAAATGAAAACGCTAAAAAGCGGAAAATTGCATATTGAAAAAGTGAAGGAACAAAAAAGTAAAAAATCAAAAAATTCAAAACTAAAATACCGCAAAAAAATAAAAATTCTAATTGAAAACTCTAAAAATTATAAAATAAAAAGCGAAAAAAGAAATCATAAACCTTAATTAAAGTCATTTGGTATTACAATCCACTACTTTTTCAGTGTGAATTTTTAAACAGCGAACCCAACAGAAGTATTACTGGTTGTCTATGCATCGCAAACGGACAACACAAATTTCTTGCATTTCGTTTTACTTCTCAAACGTGTCATATTTTTTGTATACAATTTTTTATTTTTTGGACCACCACTCTTTGTATTTTGTACATTTTACATTCTGTAGTGTATAAGAGATATTTTTAGGTTTTTACGTAATATTGTCATTCATAAGCGCCATTTTTAAAGTTAATAAAAAAATAAAAAAAATTACCAGCAAAATTTCGTTGAAACTCTGTTTACTAGCCAAAAGCTCCCCTTCAAGCTCTAGAACGTATTCTGCTCGTTGTCTAGCTCTAGCCAATTGCGCCTCTAACATTTCCCTCGTTTCCAACAAAACTTTATTGTCTTCTCGTAACTCGTCGACGCGAACTTTATAAAACTCCGCATCGGCTAATCTCTCCCTATACCGCTGGGTCTCGGCTTCCAAACGATCCACCCTTTCCACCCTTTCCCTCATTGCGTCCATTTCATCTTGATACACCTTCGCGCGTCGCGATTCCACCAACAAATCGCTATTCTAAAAAACATGACCACAATTTTCTGTTTAACATTATTATTATTATTATTATTATTATTACAACAAGAACACTCACCTCAGCTTTAAATTTAGCCACTAAGGCATTCGCGTGTTCAAGTTCTTCACGACATTCTGCCAAAATTTCCGTCTTTTCTTCCCTAAAAAAGAGTAGTGAGACAGAGATCCACACTAGCCCTCTTACTCTTCGCATTATTTATCAATACTTACAACTCTTGTCTCTGTTTCCTTAATCTGGCTTTCCAATCCGCCAACTCCACCGCCAGATGATTCGACTCCACCACCTCGATCGCCGAACTCGTTGGCCCGCCAACGCTGACTTCCTGACCCAAATCTGACATCCATTGGCTTAACAATTTGTCTCTTTCGGTCGTTAGTGTGCGAACGTGATTATACAACTTGAGAGACGACTGCTCGGACTGATCCAGCGTAAGTACGATGTCCTGATCATCTGTAACCTGAATTTCGAATGAAAACACTTTTTTTTATGTGTTTTTGCAACGTACCTGTTTAATACATTCAACAATGTCATGTTGAGTGTCCACTGGAAGCTCTTTTATTTTTAAAATGAAGTGTTCTTTGGTTGGACCTTGTACGGCGCAACCCAACAACAACAAAAGTAATAGTTTTAATTGTTGCAAGGAGACGTCTGAGCCCGGAGATCTACCCAGAGCTACACAGTCTGGTAAAGAAATTATAATCTGGCCAAGTTCTTCCTGGAAGGATTGAAATATTCACAATTAAACAAAATTGATTTCTCCTTCCAGAAACCGATGACGTCATCTCAAAATTTTGCGAATAACGTGTATTTTATACATGCATTTGTACATAGTCAAAAACGGCTTATCTCATTTGCATCAAATTCTGGGAACATTTAGGGCCGGTTGCATAAACGCAAATCAAATTTAATCTCTGATTAACTCCATAGTAACGATTGTTATTATCATAGTTACAATTGTTCTTAATCAGAGATTAAATTTGATTTGCGTTTATGCAACCGGCCCTTAGTATCACCATAGGTTAATATAGATGCGACATACAAGCTGATTCTGCAAAACCACCCTTATTGACACTAAGTGAATATTTTTTGTACTTATTTAGATGATTTTACATATTTCGTTTAACTAAGAATTAATTCTTTATTTGTGTTTTATACTAGCAAAACGTCTTAAACTAAGAATATTGTTGAAATCGTAATAACCCAATGGATTTTTTTCGGGAAAATGTTTTGGAAACACTGTGTTCTATTTTGTATGAATTTTTAAATGTTTTTAGTGACAATTTTTGTGGTTGCTTGCGATACACAAATTTAAAATGACGGAAAATTGAAAAATTGAGAAATCTAAAAATTCAAAAGATGAAGTAACGAAAAACTGAAAACTCGAACAATTGTAACAAAACAAAAAATGAAGAAAAGATAAATTGAAAAACTGAAGATACGAAAACGCGAAAAATCGGAAATCTTCAAAAGTTGAAATCCCGAAAAATTGAAAAATTTTAAACAGAAAAATCGAAAATTTGAAGACATGGAAGCTTAAAATGACGAAAAATTGAAAAATTGTAAATGGAAAGATCACGAGAAACTGAAAAATCGAAAATTAGAAAAAAGGAAAATTTAGAATGACGGAAAATTGAAACATTGAAGAGAAGAAAAATTCAAAAGATGAAATAACGAAAAACTGAAAACTCGAACAATTGTAAGAAAACAAAAAATGAAGAAATTACAAAAAAAAATCGGATAACTGAAAAATTGAAACATCGAAAAACTGGGAAATCGAAAAACCGAGAAATCGAAAAATCAAAAGATTAAGAAATCGTGGAGTCGATCAAAATAACGAAAAATCCAAATCTCGATAAATCGAGAAATCAAAAAACTTAAAAATTCGAAAAATCGAGAAATTGAGATCGAAAGATCAAAAGAACGAGAAATCGAAAAGTGAAGTCGAAAAATCGAAAAATAGAGAAATCGGCAAACAAAAAGTTAAAAGTTGAAAAATTGGAAAAGCGGAAAAATCAAAAAACAAAAAATTGGAAAACTGGAAAAACTGAGAAACCGAAACAGGGCAAAATAATAAATTGAAAAACTTATAATTCGAAAACCTGAACAATCAAATCTCGATAAATCGGGAATGAAAAATTAACAAATCGAAAAATTGAAAGATCAAGAAATATTGAAAAATTAAAATATCAAAAGATCGAAAAATCTAAAATTCAAAAATCCAAAAATTGAAAAATCGAAAAAGTAAAAAGGTAGACACATCGAAAAATCCAGAAGTCAAAAATAGAAAAGCCGAAGAATTGAAATATTGAAAAATCCTAAAACTGAAATATCTAAAAACTCAAAAATCGAGAAATCAAAAAAGTGAAGTCGAAAAGTAGAAACCTTAAAAGATCGAAAAATTGAAAAATGAAAAACCTGAAAAATCAAAAAATTAAAGAATTGAAAAACAGGAAAATCGAAACACTCGAAGGTCAAGAAATGGGAAAATCAAAACATCGATTAATTGAAAACTCGAAAAAGTGAGAGTTTATAAAAGTCAAATTTGAAAAATTAAAAAATCGAAAATTTGACAAAATGACAATTAAAAAACAGAAAATCTAAAATTGAAAAAAATCTAAAAATTTAAAATCTAAAGAATGCAAATGGAAAAATTGTGATTGGAGGGACGAAAAATTGAGAAATCGAAAGATCACGAGAAACTGGAAAACCGAAAATTAGAAAAAACGAAAATTTAACATGACCGAGAATTGAAACATTAAAGAGAAGAAAAATTGAAAAATCAATAAATTCAAAATATGAAATATCGAAAAACTGAAAACTCGAAAAATTGTAAAAAAAAAACAAAAAATTGTGAAACTTTAAATAAAAAACAAAAAATGAAGAAAAGAGAAATTGAAATATTGAAGATACAACAACGTGAAAAATCGGAAAACTTCAGGTTGAAATCCTGAAAAATTGAAAAACTTTAAATTGAAAACGAGAAATATGGTAAAATTAAAAAATCGAAATAAAATTAAAGGATTGAAATACATATCTACTATATTGAAAACAAAAAAAAAGACAGTGGATAAACTCAAATTGAAAAAGAGAACTTTAAAAACCGAATAACGAAAAATCGAGAAATCGAAACTCCCAAATTACAAAAAAAATCGGATAAATGAAAAATTGAAACATCGAAAAACTGGAAAATCGAAAAACCGAGAAATCGAAAAATCAAAAGATCAAGAAATCGTGGAGTCGAAAAGTCGAACAATTGAGAGACCGAAATAGACCAAATCGAAAAATCGAAAAGTTAAAAATTGAACAATTTATAAATTGAGAAACTGACAATCAAAATATCGAAAAATCCAAATCTCGATAAATCGAGAAATCAAAAAATTGAAAAAATGAGAGATTGAAAGATCAAAAGAACGAGAAATCGAAAAGTGATGAAGTCGAAAAATAGAAAAATAGAAAAATCGACAAACAAAAAGTTAAAAGTTGAAAAATTGGAAAAGCGGAAAAATCAAAAAACGAAAAATTGGAAAACTGGAAAAACTGAGAAACCGAAATAGGCCAAAATAATAAATTGAAAAACGTACAATTCGAAAACCTGAACAATCAAATCTCGATAAATCGGGAATGAAAAATTAACAAATCGAAAAATTGAAAAACAGAACATTTAAAACCAGGAAGTCGAAAAATCGAAAGATTAAGAAATATTGCAAAATTAAAATATCAAAAGATTGAAAAATCTAAAATTTAAAGATCCAAAAATTGAAAAATCGAAAAAGTAAAAATGTAGACACATCGAAAAATCCAGAAGTCAAAAATAGAAAAGCCGAAGAATTGAAATATTGAAGAATCCTAAAACTGAAATATCTAAAAACTGAAAAATCGAAAAATAAAAAAAGTGAAGTCGAAAAATAATTTTAAAAGATCGAAAAATTGAAAAATCAAAAACCTGAAAAATCAAAAAATTGAAGAACAAAAAAATCGAAACACTCGAAGGTCAAGAAATGGGAAAATCAAAACATCGATTAACTGAAAACTCGAAAAATTGAGAGTTTATAAAAGTCAAATTTGAAAAATTAAAAAATCGAAAATTGGACAGAATGATAATTGAAAAACAGAAAATCTAAAACTGGGAAGTCGAAAAATCAAAAGGTGAAGAAATCGAAACATTTAAAAAATTCGAAAAATCTAAAATTTTAAACATTAAAAAATCTAAAATTTAAAAATCGAAAAATTGAAAAATCGAAAAAGTAAAAAAATCGAAAAATCCAGGAGTCAAAAATCGAAAAGTCGAAGAATCGAAATATTGAAAAATCCCAAAACTGAAATATCGAAAAACTGAAAAATGAAAGAAAAACTAAATCGGGAAAACAAAACATTGAAAAATCGAAAAATTTAAAACGCCAATTGAAAAGAGAAAATCTAAAACCGGGAAGTCGAAAAATCGAAAGATTAAGCAACCGAACTATTGAAAAATCGAAAAAGTAAAAAAATCGACACATCGAAAACTCCAGAAGCCAAAAGTCGAAAAGTCGAAGAATCGAAATATCGAAAAATCGCAAAACTGAAATATCGAAAAACTGAAAAATGAAAGAAAAACTGAAAAATGGAAAATCTGGAAAATCCGAAAACTGAAATATCCAAAAACTGAGAATCTAAAAAATCGAAAAACTGAGAAATCGAAATCTTAAAAAAGTGAAGTCGAAATATCGAAACCTTAAAAAAATCGAAAAATTGAAAATCAAAAACCTACAAAATCGTAAGATCGAAAAATTGAATAATAAGTAAACTGAAAAATCCCAAAACTGAAATGTCCAAAAACTGAAAAATTAAAAAATTGAAAAATCGAAAAATCAAAAAAGTGAAACTGAAAAATCGAAACCCGAAAAAATTGAAAAATTGAAAAACCAAAAAACCTGAAAAATCAATTAATTGAAAAATCGACAAATAAAGAGTTTATAAAAGTCAAAAATTGAAAAATCGAAATTGAATAACAAATAGGAGTAAAAAAAATAAGACTGATTTTGTCAATTTTGACATTTTCCACCATTTTTCAACAGTTTCCGAAAATTAATTGATGACATTTTCTTGTTAATTTCAATTTCCATAAGTCATTTTCGAATACATTTCTACGGAACTTTCTACCGATTTTCCAAAATCGCTCAGAAGAAATAAAATTAGTAAAAAAAATCGACATATCAAAAAATCCAAGAGTCAAAAATCGAAAAGTCGAAGAATCGAAATATTGAAATATCGAAAAGCTGAAAAATGAAAGAAAAACTAAAAATGGGAAACTAAATCGGGAAATAAAAACATTGAAAAATCGAAAAATTTAAAACGAAAATTGTGAACAGAAAATCTAAAACCGGGAAGTCCAAAAATCGAAAGATTAAACAATCGAAAAATTGAAAATCGAAAAAGTAAAAAAATCGACACATCGAAAACTCCAGAAGCCAAAAATCGAAAAGTCGAAGAATCGAAACATTGAAAAATCCCAAAACTGAAAAATGAAAGAAAAACTGAAAAATGGAAAACCTGGAAAATCAGAAAACTGAGATATCCAAAAACTGAGAACCTAAAAAGTCGAAAAATTGAGCAAGCGAGAAATCCAAAAAGTGAACTCAAAAAATCGAAACCTTAAAAAAACTAAAAAATGAAAAATCAAAAACCTGAAAAATCGAAAAATTAAAGAATTGAAGAACAGGAATATCGAAATTCTCGAAAGTCAAGAGATGGGAAAATCAAAACATCGATTAATTGAAAAATTGACAGTTTATAAATGTCAAATTTGAAAAATTGAAAAATCGAAAATTTGAAAAAACCACAATTGAAAAACAAAAAATCTAAAACCGGGAAGTCGAAAAATCGATAGATTAAGAAATCAAAACATTTGAAAAATTCGAAAACTTGAAAAACTGAAATATCGAAGAACTGAAATGAAAAATTGAGAAATCGGAAAATCTAAAATTTCAAATATTGAAAAACTACAATATCGAACTGAAAAATCTAAAATTTAAAAATCAAAAAATTGAAAAAACGACAATTGAAAAACAGAAAATCTAAAACCGGGAAGTCGAAAAATCGAAAGATTAGGAAATCGAAACATTTAAAAATTGAAATATGGAAGAGATGAAACGAAAAATCGAGAAATCGAAAAATCTAAAATTTTAAATATTGAAAAATTAAAATACCAAAAATTGAGAAATCTAAAATTTAAAAATCGAAAAAGTAAAAAGTCGACACATCGAAAAATCCAGAAGTCAAAAATGGAAAAGTCGAAGAACACAAATATTGAAAAACCCCAAAACTGAGATATCGAAAAACTGAAAAATGAAAGAAAAACTGACGAATCGAAAAACTGAAAAATTCCAAAACTGAAAATCTAAAGAATCGAAAAATTGAGAATCAAAAAAGTGAAGTCGAAATATCGAAACCTTAAAAAAATCGAAAAATTGAAAAATCAATAACCTGCAAAGTAGTAAGATCGAAAAATTGAATAACAATTAAACGGAAATGTCCAAAAACTGAGAAATTAAAAAACTAAAAAATTGAGAAATCGAAAAATGAAAAAAGTGAAGTTGAAAACCCAAAAACCTGAAAAATTAATTAATTAAAAATCGACAAATAAAGAGTTTATAAAAGTCAAAAATTGAAAAATCGAAATATTTCGAAATCGTAAAATTGGAGAGAAAAACTGAAAACCGAGAAATTGAAAAATTGAGACATTGAAGAAATGAAAAAAAAAGAAACTCAAAATCGAATAATTAAAAGGTTAAAACAATTGAAAAATCGAAAAATTGTAATATTGAAACCTGAAAACCCTGATTAATTAAAAATCGAGAAAGTGGAAAATTGAAAAAACGAAAAACAAAAACTTCTATAAACTAAACAATCAAAAATACAAAAAAAATTAATTTCATAATCCAAAAATTTTAAAATCAAAACAGGAAAACTAAAAAATTAAGAAATTGTAAAAATTGTAACAAAACAAACGACGAATCACTGAAAAACCGAAAAATTTTAAAACCGAGAAATCCAAGACTTGAAAAACTACAGAAACTGAAAAATCGGGTAATTGAAAAGCCAAGAATTGTACACTTGAAAAAAAATCCTAATAATTGTTTGAATTAAGTGAAAATTAAAAATCGGGAAATTTAAAAATGAAAACGTGATAAATTTGTAACATTGACACCTGAAAACGTGATAAATTGAAAAATCGAAAAAACGAAAAATTATAAAAAGACGGAAAATCGAAAAATTAAAAAGCAACTTGGAAAATTGCAAAATTAAAATATGTGCAAATTAAAAAATCGAAACATACAAAAATTTTACTGAAAAATAAAAATCATAATGAAAGTCGAAAAACTAAAAAATCGAGAAATCGAAAAATATAAAAACGAAACACGGAAAAATCGAAAAATTGTAAAACTGAAAAATCAAAAAATTAAAAACTGAAAAATCGCAAAAGAAACATTGAGAATCTGAACAATTTAAAAATTGAGAAATTGAAGAACTCCAAAAATAAATAAACTCAAAATCGAATAATTAAGAGGTCACCAATTGGAAAAGGAAAAACTGTAACCTTAAAAATGAAAAAGCTGAAAATCTAAAAAACAGAAAAATCAAACAATAGCAAAATTGAAAATAAAAATAGAAAAAAAGAAACTTGAAACACCGAGAAATTTAAAAATTGTAATAAAATTTTCTAGAAATAGAAAAATCGACAAATTGTAAAATCCAAAAGTTGAAGAATGTCAAAATAAACATCGAAAAACTGTAAAATTAAAAAATCGAAAATTGAAAAAAATTAAACATACTGAACAATAAAAAAACACTGTGACGCTTCTCTACGTTCTATGGTATCACAGCAAACTAATATATTTCTCCCTACTAAAATGTTGATGACGTCATCACAAAACTTACGAAAATCTCACTTGACACAGCATGCTTTTTACCTGTGGCTTGATAATCCACCATTTTAACTTATCATAAAAAATAAAATTCAAAAAATCAAATTTTATCATTTATCTAAGAAATTGGATTGTTTGATCATCAAAGGTGAGAAGTTCTGTTCATTTTTTTTATAGATCCATTATAGATACTGTAACAATAACCACAATGGTACTGTAATCCTAGAATTTCATGGAAATTAGATAAGCTGTTTTCTGAAACAATGGATAGAATAAATGGGTCCAAGGTTATTTCTGCAGTTGCGTTGGCAAGTGTCACTGAAAATTGAAAAATATGTGGATTCCTTGACTGTGATTACCTCATAAATATTTTTGATGTTGTGAATGATGCAGCTGAAGATTTTTATCCTTGCAAAAGTGATGTTAACGCCTGGGAAATTTGAAAACGTTGGTACTGGCTGCAGTGGTTCCGGGTCTATTTGTAAAAGAACTTCTGTAATTGGAGACCCATCGAAGAACGTTTCATAAACCTGTAGCGCTTCTGGCTTTTTGACACAGGTAGCCAGCTGAAGTACCATGATTCAGTAAAAAGTACTTAGGCGCTTTGTAAACTTACCCATGTGACTAATGGGCCTGCCAAAAATTCCTCAATTGCTGTAGAAGAAGCTGCCATTTTATAAATAATAAAACTAAACCACCACTACAGATCTGCTAAGTTTTATCCCCATTGTTTGCGTCAGTTCCATTCATTTTAAACCAATTAGTGCAAGTCGCTGGTAAATTAAAAAATGAGGGAGTTCCCGGTGAAGGTCTTACAATATTCACACAGTTTCCTGCAAACATGCAAAGAAAAAGAATAACACTCACGTCGATTTATTTGAAAAACAAGTGGCTTTTCTTTCAATAAACCCCGGATTTTACACTATTGGAGAAACGAAAACAGTTATTATTCACAAAGATGAACTCACCGATTGTTCACCCATCAAAACATTACCCACAAGGTATAAAACATCAAACAAAGCACAACAGCTGCACTGCACATGACAGGTTGACAGCACACAAAAGACGTACGTTTAAACTACCACCGTAGGTTGATCGGTGAGTAGGTTAAAAGTGAAAATTGGGTGCCCCGCGTTGCCAAATTTCGAAATTTGGGGTACTTGTCAAATTTGGCACAAAAAAAAAGCACACTTATAAAATAATAATTATTTGTAATAAGTTATGTCAAATTGGAAAAAATTACAACCGTGTGTGATTAAAGTCGCCCACATCCGCTACAAACCAACGTGTTTACGTTTCCTTTAAATGGTAATCCAAGCAATCTTTGACGGGATTGGTACAACCCATGTTACGTTAAACGTCGGTCTCGGCTAGCGCGATTGTGGTCACAGTTTTGGCCCTAAGTGGGTCAATAATTTTTGAGTGATTTAAATTAAGATAAAAGTAAGAACCGAGTGTGAAGACAGCCACCATTAATTGATGTTGTTTGATGTTGACACACTTTCGTTGACAATATTTACCAAATTTTTCATTTTGGCTTTCAGCCCTTGTCAATCCTGTGTAATAAGTAGGACTACGAGCAAAGAAAATGTCGCCGATTCCAATGCCAGGGTAAGTCACTTGTAATTAAAAACAAAAAAACATACACAACACCTAAAATTGGGCGTTGACCAGCGCTAGACACAGCTTCTGTGGCAAGACAAGGTAATATTTTAACAAATGATTATCATGGGCGAAATACCTGGGTTAAATCTAAGGTTATATTACACTGTACATTGTGTAATAATTACAATTATGACGAAAGCGAAGCCTTTGTTACATGTTTGTTAAATTCGCCATTTATGCATGTTTTACAATATGTGGTCAAGTTTTAATCATTATCAAAATATATGATTCATTATTACAGGACCTCGCCTATTAATAGAAATTAAAGATTTGTAACAATTTTACCAGTTTTACAGACACAATACCCTTGAAACAAAGGTAAAAACAAAAATGTGTTGTTTACAGTCGTGAAAAATACGTACCCGACATCCACACATCCTGTAAGCAACAATAATATTTTAATTTCACTTTAAACACAAATAATATAATATTTTTGCTGTTAAATAATCCATAGTGTGTGTTACGTTCTAGCGTCAACATTTCTAATGTTAGTTGTTCTTGCGTCTATATTGACACTATTGTATTATCTCCCTTTATCGCTGATAATACCTGATAGGAGTTAATACGGTTAAAACTAGCCGCAGGAAGTGATCTAAAAAACCCGAATAAATCATGTTCGCGATGAAGGATATGTCCCCCAGTATCCCATCCTTGGGTGACATTACGGAAAGCAAACTCTTCCAGAGGAGGGCTGACTCAAAAGAGGAACTGTCTTCGGGGTACCATGCCTTCGAAAGCGTCGACTACGACAACTACGAAACAATCACGAAATACTCCCAGAGTCACGTTTCGCGGTACTCCATAAAACGTTTTCGACACTGCAATGTACAATGTTTGATTGTTTTTAATTTTGGTTGCAGGGTCACCACCAACATGCCCCTGGACAACATGCTGTGTGCCCGCTGCGGCGACGGGTTCGAGCCCCATGAGAAAATCGTCAACTCGACTGGGCAGTTGTGGCATCAACAATGCTTTGTGTAAGCCACAGATTTTTACTGATGCAGTTGATAGTTTGGACTTTTTAGCTGCGCCCAGTGCTTCCAGGAGTTCGAGGACGGGATTTTCTACGAGTACGACGACCGGAAGTACTGTGAGAGAGATTTCCAGATTCTGTTTGCTCCCTGTTGTGGCAAATGCAACAGTTTCATCATCGGGCGGGTGATTAAGGCCATGAATGCCAGCTGGCATCCGGAGTGCTTCCGTTGCGAGATGTGCGAGACGGAGTTGGCGGATACTGGGTTCATTAAGAATGCGGGAAGGGCGTTGTGTCACGAATGCAACGCTAGGGTTAAGGCCATCGGGACGGGGAAACATGTGTGCCACAAATGCCAGTAAGTTTGTCTTTTTAGTGTAATTGTTAGGTTGGATTTGTACAGTTGACGTCCACGGTAACTACGATTTTAGAATCATTTGTGTTTTCCCAAAACCCTTGGCAACAAAATAACTTGAAATAACGTTTAAAAAATAAATTGCTCTACAATAATACTGATATTTGCGGAAACGTTACTTACCTGAATTTTTGTTCAGCAAAGCATTTGAGAAATGAAGAAAATTTGTATTTTTTAAATGACAGTAGCAATTATTTTGACGTTTCTCTCTCTTTTAACGCCTACTAGATACAGAATCATTTAAATCAGCTTACTCGATACCCTTACAAGAAATTATTATTATTAATAATAAATGATTATTATAATTTTCAGCGCGCCAATAGGTGAAACAATATAAAAATTATATAGGGCGTTCATAAATTGTTCATATGTTTAAATTAAGCACTCATTATTTCGTCTCCTAAGCTTATTTTAAATGTCAATTTGTTGTTGCCAACTGTTTAATTGGTTGCATAAACTGCATTAAAATTGAAAATCACTAAATAATTTGATTCATAAAAAGTAAAAAATTGGCCGAAGGTTGTTCCATGCCTGCAATAACTTCAAAACGTCTGCAAGATTTCAATACATTCGGTTTTGCAGTTCTTGATTTAATCAATAAATTAATAAAAAGGCATATTTTTTTGTATCATCCTGTATAAGCAAATAAAAAAAATATGAATCCTAATGCAATAATTTCAAAAATGTGCGGCATACTTTATTGAACGTTAAAAAAAAATAAAATAAAAAAAAAGGGGGGGGGCGGCTGGACGGGGCTAGTACTTGCTAAGATAAGACTTATTTTGGCAAATAACATACTCTCTGAGAAAAAAAGGGTGGGTGGGCGGGGCTAAACTTGCTAAGATAGGACTGAACAATATTAAGAGAAGTCACTGGAACGAAGAAGGGATAGTTGGGCGGGGCTTCTGCTTGGTGATAAAAATAGAAACAAGGTAAATTTAGCCCCCCCCCCCCCCCCAACTCCTTTCTCCATTTAACTGACTTATTTTATTTAGTGTAAAATGGAAATTGAAAAATAACAGTATTGCATTCCCAAAATTTCTGGGAAAATGAAGTAACATCTGTGTTACAATCTTTTGTGAAGAAATAAAAGTACGCGCTTTTCGCATACAGAGTGTTTATGTATTTTAAATTATTACAATTTTCAAACATCGATATTTCGGTTTTTGTAAATAGAACAGCCTGTATGTTATTACTGTATTTTATTCTATTGTTTTGTTGTTTTTCTTTTTTGTTAAGTATATTTTCTATATTTAAAGCTAATAGTTACTACGATTTTTCTTTGTTAAGAGACACATCGACATATTAGAGGAATAAGAACAAAAAATAGAATAAAATGCAGGATGTTCTATTGAAAAGCCGGAAATATCGATATTTGAAAATCGTAAAGTTTTAGAATTTTTTATAAACACTTTGTGTATTAAAATTTTACGAAACGTGGCAACGTCGCATATGAATTTGAAAAATAAACTGCAGTTACATAGCCTAGGAAGAGACCAACGAAAGTATGTAAACATATATGGGGCGTTTCACTTAAAAACCAAGTTGTGTGTTACACATTAAAAACAGAACACTGTGTAGTAAAAAATAATTTTAAGGTATAGTCCTTCAAGAACCATACAACTTTGGTATTTGCCTTTTTGTTGTATCGCTTAGTGACTCACCCTGTATATATAAGGTTTTGAATACTTGACAGTTGACACTTTGTTATTCGTAGAAAACTTTGATAAATCCAAAACAACAAAAAAATATGTATTTAAATCCACTGGCTGTCTCTGGAGCATAAACGGCATTTATTAAAAACTTTTTTAATATGACATAACTAATTTCTTGTAGAGTAAAAATATACAGGATGTCTCAAAAGTCTGGTAGCAGCAGAACTCATTTAGAGCTCTGATTGTTTTTGGAAATTTACTGAATGCACATTTTTGCTTTTTTATACCTACATAAAACGATCAAAATTCTCAACTGCGCCTTATTTAAAGCTGGAAATTTGGAATTTTGCAAAAGATTTTTCAATTGTCTTGGAATTACATTTGAAGGTGTTTAACTTATTTATATTTATAAAGATTCAATTTATAATTTTTTTTATTTTCTTATATTTTTCAAATGAAACACCTGTATTTTATAACTAGTTGGAGCTTATCGCTAAGTAAGTTTTCCTTGAATATCAGATTTGATGAAGTTTAAACTGACAGTTTTTTGAAAATTAAACTTCGAAAGTACAGGATGCCCATTTGAAAAATATGAGAAAACTGGCATTCTGCAACTTTAAACCTTGTTTAAGTTTACCCACGTCAATAAGATAACTAAGTTTCATAACATTCCAAACTCCATCTTTAAAAATAAAATAAGTCTTAATTTTTTCATAAAGAAGCTAAAATTTGTAAAAATATATTAATTCTTTTGTTTAGAAAAATAAAACTCAACTAAGAACGCTTTACAAGACTAATAGAGACAAAATCAGTCTTATCTTAGCAAGTACTAGTCCCGCCCACCCGCCTTCTATTTTCTGAAAAGGTATGTCGTTTGTCAAAATGCTAGTATTTGCTAAGATAAGACCAATTGGCAAATGACATAATCCTCTGAAAAAATAGAGGGTGGGTGGGCGGGGCTAGTCCTTGCCAAGATAAGACTAATTTTGGCAAATTACATATCCTCTGAGAAAATATGAATGCAATGATAGTATCGACTCATCATATTTTGGATATTTTAGATAGGATTTATTCGACAAAATTTTGAGCCAACGTCATCAATTTTTTGGAGGGGATAAGCAAATATATTTTGATTAAAAATTTATTATGCCTATCATAACTTTAAAATGTCTGCAAAATTTCAAAGCATTCGTTTTTGCATATTCAAAATTAAATTGCAAAATGTTTTATAATTTTGATTTGTTTCCAAAAATCTGGACGTTATTTTATACAATTTAAAAACAATTTTCTATGTATAATTTTGAAATGACGTCATCACATTATTGGTAGGGATGATTAGAGAAATTTTAGTCAGCGTTTTACCATCTACGTGTTTTGTTGTTGGAATTTTGCAAAGCATTTTTCACGTGTCTTTGAACTAAATTTGAAGACTGTTTTAGCTTATTTATAATTACAGTGATTGAATTGAATTGAACGGTTTTTTGAGAATTCAACTTCGAAAATGATATAAAATACAGGATGTCCCATTCGAAAAATATGAGAAAACTGGCATTTTGAAATTTTGGTTACCCTGTATAAATAACTTTATACCTCGTTCAGTTTTATTGACTAAGTATAATAAAATAAGTTGAGTAAGTTTCATATAACATTCCAAATTCCATCTTCAAAAATTAAATAAGTCTTAATTTTTTCATAAAGAAGCTAAAATTTGTAAAAATATATGAATTCTTTTGTTTAGAAAAATAAAACTTAACTAATAACTTTTCAACATGGAATACCTTGTATATTTCAAAATAATTGTAAATTGTATCTCCAAATGGGTTTTGTCACTATCTTTAAAAAATTGGTCGAAAGTTGTTTCAACAGACCTTCCCTCGTTCCTGAAGTAGAATTAAACATAAAAAATAAACACCCAATCAGATTTAGGAATTTAACTCGAACTATGGAAATTTGCAATATAACACCTTTTAAATTTAACAAGTTTTAACAAGATTAAATAGAGGCAAAATCAGTCTTATCTTAGCAAGTACTTGCCCCACCCACCCACCCCGTATTTTCTCAGAGCATGTTATTTGCCAAAATAAGTCTTAACTTAGCATGTACTAGCCCCGCACACCCGCCCCCAATTTTCTCAGAGGGTATGTTATTTGCCAAAATCAATCTTATCTTAGCAAGAACTAGCCCCACCCACCCACCCCCTATTTTCTCAGAGGATATGTCATTTGCCAAAATTAGTCTTGTCTTAGCAAGTACTAGCCCCGCCCACCCGCCCTCTATTTTCATAAAAGGTATGCCATTTGTCAAAATGCTAGTATTTGCTAAGATAATAGTGATTTTGGCAAATGACATAATCCTCTGAGAAAATAAGGGGTGGGTGGGCGGGGCTAGTACTTGCTAAGATACGACTGATTTTGGCAAATGCCATACCTTCTAAGACAATAAAGATAAATGGCAAATTACAAATTCTCTGAGAAAAAAGGGGGCAAATCTAAAAAGTATGAATGCAATGATAAATCATATTTTGGATATTTAAGATACGATTTATTCTGCAAAATTTTGAGCAAACGTTTTGATTAAAAATACAAGATTTTAAAGCATTCGGTTTTGCATATTCAAAATTAAATTGCAAAATGCTTCATATTTTCGACTTTTTTTCCAAAAATCTGGACGTTTCGGGTAAAAACTCAAGACGGAATCATAAACTACATGTGTAGGACTATGTTATTTTATACAATTTAAAACCCATTTACTATGTACGATTTCGAAGTGACTTTATCACATTATTAGTGGGGATGATTAGACAAATTTTAGTCAGCGTTTTACCATCTATGTTTTGTTGCTAGATCAACTTGGAAAAATCTTTTGAGCTTTTAGTGTTTTATTTTTTATAAATTTGAAAGTCTTGAGTGTCATAGTGGTTTTTTTTTCGGGGAATTCTTGGGTACCCATGGTTTATTATTTTGGGAGCCTATGAAATTTTTTTTGTAAATTCTTTAAAACAATTTTGGGGGACTTTGGTGTTCTATTTTTCGAAAATTCTGACCTGACCTGTTTTTGAGATAATACGGAACACCGTGTTTTTTTTTAACAATCTTGAGGTTCTAGGTATTCCTGTTTGTAAACTATTTGAAAGTGCTTTGGAGCCTCTAGTGTCTTTTTCTTATAATAATTTAATTAAATTTCTTAGAGGATACGTCATTTGCTAAAATCAGTCTTATCTCATCAAATACTAGCATTTTGACAAATGACATACTTTTTAAGAAAATAGAGGACGGGTGAACGGGGCTA